CTGGCAAAATAAATTATTAAAATAGTTATGATGTCATTCTGTTTTTTAATTCAGGAGATTATAAAAAAATCCTTCATTTTATGGAAAGACCCTCTTGATTCATGAGAAAACTCCAGTTTGTAAGAAAATGGCTGCTTATCAATTAATTGTTAGTCAGTCTATAAGATAAATCAACTTCAGATTAATTAATTAATCAATAACTTGCATCCCTAATTTATACAGGAATGAAATTAAATTATATCTACTCATATTCATGTAACTAAGCATTTTAATGATTTTGGCCGATTAATCAAAAGAATAACCGACAGATTAATTGATTGTTAAAATAATCGTTAGTTGCAGCCTTACATCTATCATATATACCTCACAGCCCTATCAGAAAGTAAAGTGCACACACATTCTGTACACGTGACCCTGGGTGGGTTTATTACGTCCTGATAGATGAAGCCACAGAGCAGCAGGATGGTGGACCCTGCCTGTAAAACTAAATGCTACAACCTTCTTTTGATTCATGATTTTTTTCATGCAATGCAGCAAACCTTTACACACCTTTCTGTTTGCAGGAGAAAGACTCTGGGTCTCCTCTGCATGAAGCCTTTCTGGACCTGTTCATCAAAGAAAGAGGTGGAGTTTTAATCTAGATATAAACAACATAACAGGTTTTAACCAAGTGAAAGAATATGCTCTGACCTTCAGTGGAGGCTAACTGCACAGACTCAGAGTAGATGAGTGGATATGAAGCACTCCTTTTCAGACACATCTCATCATAAGAAGACAGCCGCCTGCTAAGCAGACAGCAGATATCAGTCACGCCTGTCTGTTTACTGTAGCTGTCACTGAGGACTGACTGACTACAGATCTGTGCTGAGGAGCAGAGTTTCCACTTTCTCTGTGCCATCAAATGCATCCTACCTGTCTGGGTTGCAGTAGGTGTACCTCTTGGGGCCGGGTGGTTCTGGTTCTGAGCTTGAAGGAAAAGTGATGCGGCAGTGGTTGAAACACAGGAAAAGCCCGAGACTCAAACACAACAGGAGAGACAGCAGCAGGTAGTTCTGCCTGTCTGAAACCTGCAAACAAAGCATTCATCACAAGGCTGCAAGCAAAACTGCACAACTTCATTTAATGCAACGTGGACTAGTTAAAATAATAAGTAGCACAGTACATATTATTTTTAAATTTTAGGTTTCTGGATCAAACCCTGGCCAAAGATGTGTTACAGAAACAGCCTGTATGTACTTAGTTACATGATAAAACAGTGATCACAGATGAAGGCTTTGTGCCCGGAGAGTCATATCTACCTCACTCTGCAGCTGGCTGACTCTGACAGACAAGTTGAGAACAAGGTGAGTCACATTCTCTAACTGGCCCTGCAGCAGCTGAATGGATTCAGTCTGACGCAGGTCCTACAGGGACAGAAACAACAACACAGTGGTGTGATGACACGCAACCTTTGGATGTCTCTGCAGAAGTCTCATTCAGGATCTCAGTTAGGACTTGCACCTGCAATGACTCGGCCTGATGAAATAATCACTGAAACACTATCAGGTATTTATCAGCATATTAATTAGTTCTTATTTATCAGGGACAAGGAAGTTAAGACAGACTGGACTTTTAGTGTAAACCAACATTTACAACTGCAGTCCCTGTGGTTTTGGGAAACATTAAAACATGAATTTCTTGATAATTTGTGATCATTTGGAACCTTTAGTGATTTTATTTCTGAATGCAAAAAATAAAACTGTTATGAAACAATGAAAGATCAAAAGCAGACTGTGTTCCTGCTTGTCAGCTGATGTTTGCTCACCTGCTCCTCTGCTAGTCTGGATGTGTTCTGGAGTTTAATAATGGTTTTGTTGAAAGCTCTTTGCATCTCCTCCATCTGCTTCCGATACCTCGAATTGGGATAAAAAAAATAAAAAAAGACTTAAAAATCATCTTTACTCAGGAGTTCAACATACCGTATTTTTTGGACTATAAGCCGCGACTTTTTTCCTGAACTTTGAACCATGCGGCTTATAGTCCGGTGCGGCTTATACGTGGGTTTTTTTCTTCAGCCACCAGGGGGCTCTTATGCTGCATTTGTTTCAACCACTCGCTTCAAAAAAAAGAAGAAAAAAAAAGAAAAAAGCGATCGCTTCCAGAGCCGACTGTTGTACCAGGAAGCAGCAATTTAAAGATAGTCAATGGCCAAAAACTCATAAAAGGGGATAAAACAGACATTTTTCACGGTGGAATCTGACTGATAAAAACTTTGGAGCTTAATCCAGGACCAGTTTGTGGATAAACGTCGAGTGAAGAGTCACGGACTTTTTTTTTCCTCATTGCACTCCCCGGGGAAGGAATCCCATGCAGTGACGTATGCTGGAGCGGGAGGGCTTTCCCACCACAGCTTTAGAGCCAGCATTACCCCGGGAGGACAGCGACACAGAAAGCAACATTGAACAGATGCAGCTGTGTGACGCAGCTTTTCTCAGCTTGTTTAACTCCGATACTGAAGAGGACGACTTCGATGATTTCAGTGCGCCGGAGGACGATGAATGAGACGTTTTGTTGGACCAGAAACGGTTAAAGAAAACTACCAAAATAAGGTCAGTTAAATGAACCGTATTCCTCCAAACTTTAATTCCTAAAGGTTTGCTTTTTATGTTTTGATGTTGAATTCACTTTTTTGACGGCAAATTTGGGTGTACTGTTTTGTTTTTTATGTTGGGGGTGCGGCTTATAGTCCGGTGTGGCTTATAGTCCGAAAAATACGGTAACTAGAGAACTTGAATTTCTTGCAAAAATACAGTGTGAATGCTTAATGCTGAAAGATGTTTGCTTAAGAGCTAAAGAACTAACCTAAAATAGCTAAAAATAAAAGATAGCTGAAATTAAGCAGAAAGAAGCTGAAACCTAAAACTAAAAACACAGAAAACTATTGAAGAGCATTGCATTCACCAAATCAAAAAGAAAATTAGACACATGATCTTGAGATCAGGATCTTATAATTATGAGATCTTTTATCGTAATGAAGAGATTGAACAGAACACTCTAACCGGTGTGCAGGAAGATTAATTAATAAATCCGCAAACACAACACCATCCACATTAAATGAACTCAATATTTCCCAATTTTTCATACCTAAGAGGAAATAAAAGCACATAAAATGTGATAGTGCAGTCATTGTTTACTTTTCCTGTAATGTAAATCAGCTGACTCTCTTTAACTTGTCTCCTAATTACGAGATCAGGATCTCGTAATTATGAGATCTTTTCTCGGAATTATGAGATCAAGAGTCCTAATTTTTTTTATTTGGTGAATGCAATACTTTTCCGTAGAAAACAGCTGAAATGTGCAGAAAACAAAAATCTGAAAATACAAGAAGTAAGCAGAAAAAGGTTAAAATTAGCACAACAGCATAAAAGGCCAGAATGATAGCTAAAAACAGAAATAAGCTAAATAAAAGCCAAAGGCAGCTTAAATTAACACAAATATGTTGAAAAAAGCAGAAACAGAACAAAAGGTAAAAAGTTACAGTAACATTTATAACCATTTTGAAGGTTTTAAGGATATTCAGGACATTTTCAATGAGAAATGGCTGAAAAGCTCAAAATCTCAAAAACTATAAGTAAAAATACATAAAGTCACAGCAGGGTGTCCTGAATTATTTGTATGGATAGCACAAATATTGTGGAACAAGATACCTGCTAAAACAAAAACTATGGAAGAAAAAAAAGATCTCCATATGAATGATTTATAAGCATTCACACAAATAACACTTCCAATTTTTTGTATAGAAACAAAATTTATGTACAATAAAAAACACAAATCACAAATAAAATGAAGGACGACAGAAAGAAGAAAAAAAATCTTATATCTGCACCTTTTTTCTCAAAAAATTAATTTAAACAATAATGATCTACAAACAAAAACTAAAAAAAATAATAATAAAAAATAAACGGTTAACTTTAAGCCCACAAGATTTTAGAAGATTTCGTTCAGTTCTCTTGTCGGCCCTGTACCCGGACCAACAGGGCTTAAAAGGTTAACGATTTTTAAATAAACCCAAATACTGATCAGGATGAGTTTGTTGTTATGAGTTTGGTAGAAGCACGTCACAGGTTGTAGATGAAACTTAAAAAAATAAAATAAAATAAACTACAAAGTTTTGCAAACATCAAAGGGATTTTAGTGAAAGAACTGGTCAGCTCAGAGTCAGAGCAGGATGTCAGCGGGCCTCACCTCTGGCTGAGCTGCTCCAGGTAACGCCCGCTGAGCGACATGTTCACCTCCAGAGCCTTGATGCGGTTGTTGAGCCTCATGAAGACGGACTCTTTCTGATTGGAGCCGTGCAGCAGGTTGCCGTTCTGCTCCGTGCTGTTGAAGGGCTCTGCGTAGATGTCTGACAGGGATGCTGAGGCAGTCGGAGGAGAGGGATGAACTGACTGAGCGCTGCCGGCTGCAGAGCTGGACACGTCTTCGGCCTGCTCCACAGGCTCTGGGACAGGCTCTGTCACAGAGGAGGGCTCGTCAGTGGGAGCTGTGTCAGGCCCCACCGCTGGGTCCACCTGATCTACAGCAGGCAGTGAGGCAGAGGACACAACTGGAGCCTGGGACGTCTTCTCCTGGGTCTGGACGGGGATATTTGTTTCTTTTTCAGAGGCATCAACCTCAGGCTTTTGCTCTGTGGGTGCTGCTTCTTCTACTGAGACGCTGGTGGGTTTCACATGAGCAGAAGTGCTGAGGGGGGCCGACGGCTCCACATGCTGCTCTGCAGCGGACCCATCCTGGCTCTTCTCTGGCTCCGACTCCTTTGCCGGTTCCTGAAAAGACAGCTTTGGTGTTTCCACATCCGGGGTGGGTTTGATGGAGGGTTCTGTGAGACTGGGACTGGGAAGGTTGGAGCTCTGACTGGGCTCCAGCACGGTGGGCTCAGGTACAGATTTGTCTGAAGACTGGGCTGCTTCCCTCTCTGGCTCCTGCTCAGAGGCTTGTTCTGTTTCTGCTGGGGTCACCTCAGTGCCGTGTGGCTGGGGGGAGGAGGAGGAGGAGGGGGGCGGGGCTAGGTGCCCACTGGGTGTCGGGATGGAAGGAATGTTTGGCTTTCTGTCCGTTTGGCACGACCTCTGTTTAACCAGTGAGGCTGAGCACTGCTGCAGAACAAACTCCTGGAAGGAAGACGCACACGAGCAGGAAGAGCAACATGGAGGACAGCATGTCAGCTTTTCTTGATTCTTTGTTTCTTTGCCTTCCTCCACCTCGTCTCTGCCAAGGAGAATGATTGTCGAGCTGATTGGCTCTTCTTCATCCTTCTCTAGCGGGGCAGCGACTTTCTCCTTCACCTCCACCGGGGGGAGCTCTTCTTCACATTTATCAGTTGGTGTTTCTGACTCGGCTGTTTCAGCTGAAGAGGAGACCTGCACCTCCTCAGAGTCCGGACTGAAAGGAGGCAGGAAGAATACGTGAGAACAAACATTAAAGGCTAAAACACTCAACCAACAATCCCATAAATGAGCTCAGAAGGAACAGAAAACATTACAAATCAGAAAATCCTCCAAACAAGGTGAGCAAAGCTTGTTGCATCAAACCCAAAAAAGACTTGAAGGAAATGTTGCCAAAGTTTGATATTTTGGCTTTTTTATTATCTATCATTATAAAATTATAATTACTGAGTGTAGATTAATAAAAATAATGTTTAAAACAATTGTAGCATCAGGCTACAACAATGCAGAACAGAAAATAAAGGAGGTCTGAGGACTTTCCAAGGGTTTCAGGCTCAGGCCTGTGGGTGGATCAAACCTGTACCCACACTGCAGTGAGGTCAGTAGTGATGGTCTTAGTGGTGCTTTCAGGTTGTTGTGAAGGATCAGTAATGTTCACTTCTTGAGATGAGAGGTTGCCTTAAAATGAAAAGGAAACATTTAACGACATCATTTATCAACACTGAGTAACCAAACTCACACCAGAACTCAGAATGTTACAGAAAACTCAATTCTGCTCATCTGCTAACCTGCTAATACTGGAACTAATATTCTGCTGAGCGGCTTAGAATTTCCTTTCACCTTATTAATTAATAACAAACTTATCTCCCATTAAAAAGTGAGGACTGTTAACATAAAATACATCACCTCATTCTCAACAGTCCTCACTGTTACCTTTCACAAGCAGCAACATACTCTGTGCTGAAAACAAAGCAGTCACCATGAGTTACATGGTGACATCATCCCCAGACCGAGGACCTCTTATGCACAGAGCAGAACGTCATGTTTCCAGTTGACAGCCAAAAACAGAGACTTTAATATACAGTAGGGCTGCAACTATTGATTAATTTAATAATAGATTAATCTTTTGATTATTTTTTTAATTAATCGGGCAAATCATTAAAATGCTTAATGACATAAATATGAGTACATATAAATGTATTTTCAATTCAGTTCAAAAAATGTATTCGTTTCATTAAAAAATAAACTATATACAATAAAAAACAACGAAATTACACAAATCAAAAATCAAAATAAAATGAAAGGTAGCAGAAGAAGAATAAATCTTATAATCTTATAAATCTTATAACCTTTTATCCTCAGAACACAATCAAACAAAACATAATTTACAAAACAATACAAATAAAAATAAAAACATCAACTCAAACAACAACTCATATAGCTTCTCATCTTACTTTCTCATATACCTTCAGAAAACTAGCTTTTATCTCTTTCTTAAATATACTAGCATTTTTAAGATCATCCTGCAGAAAATTCCACAATCCTATACCCCGGATTAAAGTATATTTAGTATTTCATTCCTGTATAAATTAGGGATGCAAGTTGTGGATTAATGAATTAATCTGAAGTTGATTTATCTTATACATTGACTAACAATTAACGGGAGATGCAAACGGCTCCGCGACATGGCGAGGGACTCACAAATTGCGCAACATAATGAATCGATAGTGAAATTCATTGCAAACACTTTTATTAATATTTTTTATTGATTTTATCGATTCGTTGTTGCAGTCCTACTTTAATATTAGTTTAGATTAGATGGACCTTTCTTGTCATTGTACAGAGCACAATGAAATTACAGTTCAGAACACCCATTCAGAAGAAGACAGAACATAAACATGGGAGAACAGGTGCTCTGGGTCATGCAGCCACTGACCCTGCACAGAGCAAGGATCATCTTCATGAAGACATCATGAGGAGGTGCTACCCTTACAGAAAAATTAAAAACCACACAAGGGAAGATGAGGAAAAAAAACTTTAAAAAAAGTATAAACTTTAAACAAGAATTTGTCAAGAAAAATCAAAGTTCTCACTAAAAACTATTGTAAAAAGTCAGAAAAAATATTTTTTAGATGTTTTCCCAGCATCCTTTGCAGCTGGGACATCATTCAGTCAGAAGTAATTTCCTGAGATGGTTGGAAAATTCAAAAACTTAAACAAAGACACACATACTTGCTTTAATCTAGGGCATTATTAATCTGTAATTTTTGAATGCCTTTTTCTCACATCTGCTTATCCTGTTTATCAGCTGTAGCTCCGCCTACTGGCAGTCTGTAAATGACATATTTCACCTCTAAAGGAAACATGAAGGCTTTTTTTTCTGTGATCTATGGAGCATTTTGTGTTTGATATGTTTAGTTGTTATCTGTAAATCTGACACCAGGAAGGAACACAGAGGGGAACTGAACACTAGAGATGAGTGTGTTCAAAGATAAAACCTGAGTGCAGCAGCACACTGATCTTGTTGGATAGCAGACCACACATTAATATGTTTCAGCTTTAGTGCTTTATCTTTCTCAGAACTAAGATATTAGTGTAGCAGTTTAAATGTTAGTGAAGCTAATATTTTGGTTAGCTGTCTTCACCACTGCTGCTTCAGTCATGAAGAAAAAAAAAGAAAGAAAATATGGTTCATACCTGAGTTTCCCCCGAGGACATTGACTGCAATATTGTTGACCATGTTTAAAATTACATCTGGCGAGAAAATTCAAACAAAGTCACAACCTGAACACAGGACACATGTACTCATCTTAAACATCACATCATATATATTTGTTTAAAACTGTATAAAATTCAGGACCTTTTGCTGAGCCAATCAGATTCTTGGATTCTCCAGATGAAACTCCAGGGGGATAATCTGCAGAGATTAGTGTACAAGAAAATGATCATGTTCAAAACAGAAAACACAGTTTATGAAAACAACCTTAATATACAGATAACTGGCAGAAAAGGAACAAATATCTCAAACAAAAGGTGAACTACATCAAACTGTTTCTATAAAACCAAGGAGGTGACGAGATTAAAGTGCCTGTGACATGCCTATCTTTTAAATACAAAAAGTCTAAGAAAATATCTTCATATTTAGGAACATTTGCATAAAACACGATTTAACCCATTTTGTCCCATAACTGGCATATTTTCCTTTGAACTTAGCTCATCTAAAGAAAAAACAGGAAGTAACATCTAAGTAAGAAAACTCTCTGGTCTTTGTTTATTAAAACAATATTATTTGAACTCTGACTTTCTTCATCTCTCTTATAGGAACTAAAATTATCTAAAGCAGTGGTTCCCAAAGTGTGGGGCGTGCCCCCAGTGCCATTGCAGATGGGGCGTGGCTTGACTGAATGGAGGGGAGGTGGAGGGGGGAATGCTCAGACCTTGTTAGCATGGACAGGTTTTTGATGGAGTTTTATTCTTAATCAACAAACCTTTATTTTTTTCCTCTCAGGCTGTTGTTCATGTTTAAAAACCCACTTTGCACAGAAATACTTTTTTAAGTTTTATTCAAGCAATGTTGAATGTTTTCACAAAGTAAAAAAAAAAACATTGACATAATTACTGTTAAGATGTTTTTAAGAGGTTGTAATTTCTTGCAATCTATTTTTTTTAGTTTTCTTTCATTAGTTCATTTTGTGGTGAGAAATAAACCGAAATGAGTTTAAAAACAAAATATCTGTGTATGCAGTTGGAGATTTTGTGTGTGTGTGTGTGTGTG